AAGCCCCACTGTGCACCCACCTCAGAGGTGAACCACTTGGAGATCTTTAGCCGTAATAAGACCTCCTGACACTCACTTTCCTCAAGGTCCCAGATTGAGTTGACATTGAAGCCGGTCCCACACTCCACACACTGGATGTCACGTATGTGCTTCAGTAGCCGGTTGGTGGCCTTGTCGTGTATCTGTTTCGACGAACGTTTAGCCATGGGTTGCCTTGTGCTTGTCCAGGAATGCAAGCTGGGCCTTTGGGGACATGTGCTGGATGCGGCTCTTCTGCGCACACAATTTGACCCACAATGCTACCATGCCGATATCCTCATCGTTTGAGAAGTTCTGAAGGATGAGCGGGGCCGGGGGCCAGGTGATGATGGTCAGAAACAGAAGTAATCAATCATTGAAGGGTGAAAATGCATGGAGTCCGCACCTCTGAGCGACTGTGGCCACACTTGACAGTGAAGCTTCTCAGGGGTGTCAGCATCTAAGGTGGGCTCATCCTCATCGCTAGAGGACCGCGATCCGCCCTCCGGGTCGTAGTCCTCATCGCCATCATCATCAGCTAGCACCAGGCTGCACCTTGCAGCCTTCTGGCGGCGTCCAGCACCCTTGGCACGAAACTGGTCCTTGTCCGTGGCTGGGGCAGCTTGGGCCTTGGGCTGGGGCTGCGGGTCCATGGCCGCAGCGGCGTCCGCGGCACAGTGCCAATGGTGGCGGCGAAGATGGGACTGATGTGCTGGCTGGGGAGATGATGAGGTGTCGTGTTTGTGAGGTCGTTACCACAGGTGCTCTTCTGATGACAGGCGGGACAGGAGGGTGCGGGAAAATAGAGTGAGAAATTGTTGGCAATAAGAAACGAGCCAGGATTGGAAGTGCTGCAAACAATCACAAGAACATCTGCAAGGAGAAATAGATGGCTGTCTCACCGGGTGGTGCAGTTGTGCACCGAGGTAGTTGTGATACGCCATGGCCGGCGTCCATGTCCAGCTGCGTTGCCGGGACAAATAAATGCTGTCCCTGAGATTGACTGGCAAAGAATAGTCCACGGTCAAATGCCAGTGGCCGCTGCTGAGCAGTTGCTGCTTAGTGCCTTTTCATGTCTGGAGACATTTGAACTGGCAGACGCCCAAAGCCTCGCACATTTTCAGTGAATGTCTGCTGCACTGTGCTGAGTAGCCAATTCATATGGAATGTTGGCAATAGGATTACTTCCCGGTCCTGCTCGGGATTCCACTGGTCAACGTGCCATTTGCGACTATTAATTTAGGAAAAATACTGAAGTAAACGAAGGACCTTGAGGAAGGAAAATGGCTGTCTACGATTTTCCCCCTCGGATGATAATGTCCAGTTTACATTCACTCTAAATATTGTAATGGTTTGGCGCCTTAATAGCAACCTGTCGTATGGTTCCGGGGCGCTTAGTGGAAACACCTGTTCACTAACTACACACTAAAACCACGCTAAAGATAATGTTGAAAAAATCGTGTCCGGCCAGGTGGAAGCACCCAGTTACAGTTAAGTTGTGGCGAACGAACGCCTCACTAACGGCGGGTTCTATCCTTAAATGCTGAACAGGTCTACACCATTGTACCTTATGAAGTATCGTGCTTAAAAAATACGTACAACCTATGCAACTAGCTTCATCCAAGTCCCTTTGGCCCTAAACTGTGTAGCTGGTAAGTATTTGCCGCAGAAATGGTTAACTATTACATTGTCAGGAAGATAAGAGATAGTAAAGGAGGCGGACAACCATACATTTCGGAGACACAGACCGCCGAAGTAGACTAAGCTAGACTAATACCTTGCTCCCACGTGTTTACGGCCGAGGTCCCTTTACCGTTACCGTTGGAGTGGTTACACGTGTACGCACGTTTTCATGCGGTCACGTCTACAAGTAATAATGTACTCCATTAAAGTGAGAAGTTTAAATTTAGGTGCCAACAAATTTGTCGAGCGCTGGTCAAACAACGAAAAACTCGAGAGTTCGTTTATCACGTTTAATTGCTGTTTCAAGAACATAGGGGAAATCCTGACGCTACAATTGTCCAATTTGCGGCTCGGCATTCGTATGGTGGGCTTTGGAAGAATGCGCACCGCCGCCCAACGGATGTCGGGAGTCGGTGAATTGCTCGATAAGCCCCTGAGGGGTGTTCCACGACGAGTTCTTGGCTCTTTGTCGCCCTGGGTAAGCTGTGGCGGTGCATACAGCCCACCTGGTTTCGACAATTAACCTCTATACGGTCCCGCCATTCTTCCTAGGGCCAAAGCCGTGCGATGCCCGCTTCAACCCCTAGCGTTTTGCTAGCGCCCCAGCAAAGGTGGAAATCGTCGTTGACTTCTACACGGATGCGTACCGCCATGCGATTCATGTCCGGACCAGGGGACCTGCTTGACATGCCTTCCACAGAATTTTCGGTACCAATGTTGGGGTCGCCTACTCCTCTGGTGGGTCATCAGAGCTGTCGGTATTCAATTCGGCTTTGCCGCGAGGGTCGCCACCATCTCACGGAACCGCAACTTCGCAGGGAGTCGGCGCTGGGGCATCCAACATACTGCCAGCACCCCAGCTTCGGTGGAAGTCCTCATCCTCGTCCAATCCAAACTTCGTTTACCAAGAGCTGTTGGAAATGTCGAAGGCACAGGTGCCATGGCGCAAGCTCACCGGAGACTACGTTTCCGTGACCGAGGCAGCAGGGAAGAAAATCCTAGAGGTAGGGTGCCGGGCTGCACGCTCGACGGTATACTTGCAGCCGGCGGAAGGAGTGTGTGGACTTTTCCCCCAGCGCTGTTAGCAAGTTACAAGTTGTGCGGGGCTGTCCGTAAAAGCCGGGGGAGCCATGGACGGTAAATCGATTTTTAGTGCGGTATCATGGTAGACAATCATCATCCTCCCTTGTCCGCTTAAGCACTCAGCGCCTTAGAGCAACGGGTCTCCCAGACTTCCGAGAGGAACCTGGCTAGTGCCAGGGGTGGGACCTCGGTCATAATCGTGCGCATGTCGCGCCCTCGAAACGCGAGGTCACCTTCGTATTTAGCCTTGTGGAACAGTATACATTAACAATATTGGACAATCGTGTGATGTGTTAATGTATACTGTTCCGCTGTATCCACGTGTATCTGTGTAAGCCGGGCATTCCGCAAAAGCATGCATTTCGTCTTCAACCGCCCCACAGTCGCAAAGCCTGCAGGTGCGCGCGGTGCGCTCACGGCCGTTAGGCAGATTAATCTCCCAACAGCCTAAACGGATAAGCATTTGATGCAAACGTTGGGGCATGGCGGTTCCAGCGTGGGCCAGCCACTTGAGCCGCGTGTCCCCAAGCGGGGCGCCCCCATCCATTTCAGATAGCTGCAAGCCTTGACGCCGGTATTTCCACTTGGGAAAGCGCGTGGATCACCTAGGGTATCCGGGCACTCCCACCGGGTGTCCAGCCGACTAACGAACTCCCTAAGTAAGCCTCCCACTGGCAACCTACGGTGGCGTAATGCGCGGCGAGGTCGTCGCCATGCAGGCCGGCTGGGGGCTCAGCTCCCAAACCCCGAAGGAAAGGTAGGACCTTGCTTGTCCAGCACTCAGCAACACCCCCCAGTTGGTCAAGCTCAAGGTCGGCGATGAAGGCCCGGTGGCACAGTGTCCCCGGCCTCTTTGCTGAGGTTCTTGGCAGAACCTCAGCAGAAGGTTGGCCCAATGGAACTGGAACGGCCTCTGCGACAGCTCGCGATAAAGCAAAACCGTAGTCGAAACCTCCTACCGCTGACCGCATATACGCGCGTTGCTCCTGAACCATTGGGTTCAACTTTGCGCTCTCGAAATTCACACCAATAGAATCAGGTCCCCAAACTTGCGCTCCATATGGAAAAACCGGCACAACGAGTGCTGTCAGCTGTCCCGGGGGTTTTCCCATCACGTACACCCTCTCCGCCACGCCGGCTGCCCCAGGCCCAAGCAGACGCTATAAAGCTTCAACCACCCAACCACCATAACCATCACAATCTTCCTGCCTGACCCACAAAACAGGCATTCCTCAGCCCCACCCCCTTTCCATGCACCGCGTCCTTCTATCTCTTCTCCATGTTGATGATACCGGTTGGGCCCTTACTTAAAGCCGCTGTTTCCCCCACCCCCCGCGCGCGCATGGCTCCACTTAGGAAGCTGACTATCGCAGCGTTTGCGATCCGTCAGCGCACTTGGAAGCTCAACACCGGCTTACCAGGAAACGGCCACAAACTCCCAACGGCCCCATCTTTACCCTTTCCCTCCACATCTTTCACCCTCCTTTCCCTCCTCGCTGCTGCTCCTCTTCGCTGATCTCCTCCTTCCTTCCTTCCTTGCTTCCTCTCCTCTCCGCGGCGCCCCAGGTCTCCAGCGAGGCCCTGACGCTCTTGTCCGACACCGCCATGCGAGACATCGCCCACTTGCTGCGGCCTGGGCACCTGAAGCAGCTGGCTAACATCCTGAAGGACCCCGAGGTGGGGTTCGCGGAGAGGACTGACGGTGGTCGTTTTGTTACCGAAGTTACCGAAATATTTACCAGACCGAAAAAACGCACGAGCATGAATGGTCTTCGCTGCTTTTCCTCGCTTCTAACGGCGTTCCATTTATGGATGCACATATTTGGCATTGGCACATGGGCAATGGCTCCCCTTCCCTACTACATCCCTTTTGCTGCCAACAATTCTGCTGCTGCGAATAGGCATCGTCCAACGACCGTTTCGTGGCTCTTGAGCTGCTGAAGAACGCCAACGTGGCCGCGGGGTTTGTACTGCCGGGCTGCCAGGTACGACATGCCACGGACCTGCAAGGACTTCACGTCGACGCCGTGTGCGTTGCACTCACTTGCCTGCTCCTGATCTCTTGATCCACATTTATCACCACATTTGCAACCTCTAAACCGTTATGGAGCCTTTCGTCTAACTCCCCTCGACCTATCGTAATTTTATCCGTTCATATCCGCTAATGTCGTTACCTTTCACTAACGGTCCATGGGGCCCCCCGGCTTTGATGGACCCCTCTACACTTGTGCGGACGTTGTAACTGTAACTGTTACCAATCTGATCATGCATCCTACGATCCGTGCCCACCGGTACTCCTCCGTGCCCACATCGGTCGCACCACTTGCCCGCGCTTCAGGACACGGGTACAGCCACTGTAATGGGCAAGCGGGGGCAGTACGTGTGGACGGATGGGCGAGACGAGGAAGCCATCAGCCGGGGCGTGTTCCGGGCCTACACCGCCACTAACCTGCGCTACTCCCAGGTCAGTGAGGCCTATCGCGCGCACGGGACTGGGGCATTGGGATCGCGGTTTGGGTTGAGTGTTGCATCTTAAGCTGGATCTGGCCTGACCTCCCTCACCCCTCCAACCCCCCGCCGCATTTCTTTCGCGCATGCAGGTTGCCCCTGTAGATATGTTTACCGAGAAGAACACGGGCACCAACCTGCCCGCACAGATTGACCTATTTGCAGCGCCCGGCAACACGTACGACTTTTTGTTCATCGGTACGCGGCGGGGGTCGTAACGCCTGTGTGCTGTAATGCAATTATGGAAGGATTGAAGCTTATGTTTATTTCAGGTCGTTTGCTGCGGCTCAGATTAGCTTAGGAAACCTACTCCGGGAGCGGTTTTTTCCCTTCCTTCACAGAACTAGACCCCTAATCGTACATCCAGATTCATGATCTCGTAGTGACATGGCTGTTTGAGCAGAATTCCGCACTGTATTATGCAGAGGGCTGTTGTTATCTTTCCAAAGCATTTCCTGCCCCTCTCCATTCCTTTACACATGCCTCGCGCGCACTGATTCCCCTCCTGTCTCCTGTCTCACCCATGAAATTCAAACTCCCCTTCCAACCTCCTTCCAACCACCTCCTGAATCCCCTTTCCCATTCGCAGCCAAGGGCGGCGGCTCCGCCAACAAGACCAGTCTGTACCAGCAGACCAAGGCTCTGCTGAACGAGGCCTCGCTCAAGTCCTTCCTGGTGGATAAGATCAAGAGCCTGGGCACCGCCGCCTGCCCGCCCTACCACCTGGCCATCGTCATTGGCGGACTCAGCGCGGAGCTCAACCTCAAGGTCGTCAAGCTGGCGAGCACACGGTGGGAGCCGGTAGAGGGCAGCGAGTCTGGAGGAGGGGTGAAAGACGCTGATGGGCACTGCGGGGCCCGGGCGTGGCAGCAAGCGGATACCGTGGGGCGGGATGGGATGGGCAGGTTGAAAAGTAGGATCGGTGAGATGGTCGATGGGGTCTGCCCCCTGTGGGGACCGCCTTCAGGTCCGCTTTGCTGTATCTTGCCGGGCTCTTTTTGCTGTTTACACTGTGTAGCTGTCTTACTGACTCTTACTGACCCTTCTTCCCTCCGTTAAACACCCACACGCATGCGCATACGCAGCTATTTGGACACGCTGCCCACCAGCGGTAACGCCTACGGTCGGGCTTTCCGCGACCTGGAGTGGGAGGAGAAGGTGCTCGCCATAACGCGGGAGCTTGGCATCGGGGCGCAGTTTGGTGGCAAGTACTTTTGCCACGACGTGCGGGTCATCCGCCTGCCGCGTCATGGCGCGTCGTGCCCCGTTGGCGTCGGGGTCTCGTGCTCTGCAGGTACCATTCCAGTTTGCGTGTCTGCATGTCGTGTCAAGTGAAGCACGCAGATGCGGCTCCAGCTGTGTCAGCTGTTACCGTCTGGAGTTAATTCCGAGCTGCCAGGGGCAGGGAGGGGAGGGGCGGAGACGGTGTGCCATTGCACGAGGAGGTGAAGGTTGTGGTAGCGCTGATACAGTTCCGTTCTGTTTCCCCCCAGTTCCCCTTCCCTGGGTTCTCAATCCCCTTGCCCATCCTTCCCTCCCTCTACACCGCCTCCTCAGACCGTCAGGCTCTTGGTAAGATCACTTCGGAAGGCGTCTTCCTGGAGCAGCTGGAGACCAACCCCGGGCAGTACCTTCCTGATGTGAGTGGTGACTATGTGGGTGGGTGACCTCGAGGGGTTACGAGGGGCGGTGGACGGGTGAGATGCCGTGGGTGGCCGCCGCTTCTATTGCCTGAGGGAGCTTGTCCGTATTGCACCGCCTCCGACGATGTTTGTGAGAACCTGTCCTGCGCTCTCACAAGGAAGGAGGAGAAGGTAAGGAGCTAAGAAATCCCGTAGCGGGGGGACCTACGGGGCGAGTCTTTTTCCGTTGTGTTCCTTGTAACCCCTTCCTGAACCACCTCCCTCTCCGGCAGGTGACGGAGGACTCGCTGAGCGCTGATGTGGTCAAGGTGGGTGCCGGGTGGCTGCGGTGCTGCAGCAGCACGGTGATGTCGTCTTCCCCGAACACCAAGGATGCATGGAACCCCACATTCGGGAGCAGGCGAAGGCGTAGCGATGGGGATGTACATTGGACAGAGCCATCCATTTCTGACGCAAACACGCGAAGCGCAGGCTGGCTAGACTTTTTGGTGGAATAAAAAATAATGATAACGCGACGCAGCAGGGACTGGTTCCCTGTCGGCCGTCTCCAGCTTGAGGTGAAGTTCCACAACACACACTGTTCTGCGTCGCAGCTCGCGACCCTCCCTACCCCATCCCGGCGTCTGCTGCTCCGCGCTTTTGAATTGATTGGTGTTTTTCATTACCTGCCCTGCCCGGACTTGCCCTGATCCTACCTGATCTGACTTGTGACCTAGTTTAAACTTAGTTAGACGTCATCCACATCCTATATCTGCATCTGCAGGTGGACCTGAACCGGCCCATGAGGGCCATCTTGGAGCAGCTCAGCTCGCACCCGGTGCGCACTCGCCTCAGCCTGACCGGCACGCTGGTGGTGGCGCGGGACATTGCACATGCCAAGCTGCAGGTAGGACTGGGCTGCGGCTGGGGTGCGTGGATGGGTGGGTGGGTGGGTTGCAACGCAAGCTGGTGAGACGAGTAGTCATCGGCTGAGTGAACTTTGGCGTGTGCCGGTGGCAAGGCGTGAACCCAAAGATGAGCTCTCGATGGGTCAATGTCTTGTTTCCAACCCAGCCCAACTTGGTTCCATATTGCCGGACTCCTGGTCCACCTCCCGGCTGCCTCCCGTCCACTCGTCCGCCCACAGGAGCGTCTGGCGGCGGGTCAGGGCTTGCCGCAGTACATCAAGGACCACATCATCTACTACGCGGGCCCAGCCAAGACGCCTGAGGGCTATGCGAGCGGCAGCTTTGGACCCACCACAGCCGGTGAGAATGAAGGAGAGGGAAAGGACGGGAACGAATTGATGTTGTCGTGCGCCATCTCACGCCGCTCCTTTCACTGCCCTCGCTGGAGCACTTGCGCGATCCTCCCGCTGCCCGCGTCCTTGCATATCCCAGTTCTCGCTCCACAACCCTCTGCCATCCCCCCAACACTTCAACCCCTTTCCCCTCCGCAGGCCGTATGGACAGCTACGTGGACGGCTTCATGGCAGCGGGCGGCTCCCTGGTGACTCTGGCCAAGGGCAACCGGAGCAAGGTGGTCACGGAGGCCTGCAAGAAGCACGGCGGTTTCTACCTGGGGTCCATCGGTAAGTGTACGGTCATGGCGATAGCGCACATCAGGTGCATTATGCAGTACGTGTGACGCGGGCCCCAGTTTTCCACATTAACCCCCTAGGCTTCCTTGCCGTGAAGGGAAATTGATTTTGCTCTTCCTGTCGTAGCTTTGGATTGGAAGTTTGATCTAAGTGGCGATTCGGAGCATGCGTCGTAAGACTGTATGGGTGGTGGTGTGTGAGGTGTGAAGCCCACCGGCCGGCAAGCCTTCCTCCTGGCCTTTCCTCTTCTACCCGGGTGGATATCCGGGGCAAGGGGTCTGGGACCGCAGGCGCGTTTCGGCCTAGTTGCAGCTCATGTGAGGCAGCTCGCGTTCCGACATGCTTTTCCATATCCAAATCCATTTCCCCCTCTTATGCCCTCACGTTGTCCCCTCTTTGCAGGCGGTCCCGCAGCTATTCTGGCCCAGAACTGCATTAAGAAGGTGGAGGTGCTCGAGTACCCGGAGCTGGGCATGGAGGCCATCTGGAAGATCGACGTGGTGGACTTCCCCGCCTTCATCGTCGTGGACAACAAGGGCAACGACTTCTTCAAGGCGTGGCAGGCGTGAGGCGGCCACCAGAAGCCGGCTATGGCAAAGTGACTACGATGCGTTGCCTCTGGGCCTCCAGCCCTCCGATCACGTGACCTTCGAGCTGTCAAACAATCAACGACGAGCCCTCAGTGCTCGGCAGCGGCTGTGGCAGCGGATTGGCACAGGACGAGACGAAGCTGGGCGTGACGGGTAAGGGCTGATTCACGATGATTGGCAGGGTTATGTGGGATGCTCTCCTGCGGGCGCAGCAGGAGTGGTTGAGGCGGCGAAGCTTTGCCCCTTGGCTTACAACTTGTAGGGTTTGTGTAGACGAACCTTTTCGAGGCTTGGCTTGGTGAATAGACGGAATAGAATAGGCATGCAGTGCTGTGGTATAGGTGTGCTGGTGACTCGACTGTGACCATTCTTTCTCATTTTGGGGAGGGGTCCGGGGTGAGGTATGTTGATCGTCTGATGGAGACTAACGAACCCGTTCGTTAGCGCAAATGGTTTAGGCTTATGGCGTGCGACTCCCGCGGTTCTGATGCAGCTGAATGATATTTCATTTCAGTGTGGCCAAGTTGCAAGCGCGGGATGGAGAAGAGCAGGAGGATTAGGAAGGGCCATACGCTGCTACACAGAGGCCTGGACTTTGTTGGGGGGGACTTTTGGGGCCGATGCCGAGCTCCAGAAAGCTCCGGCTCTGTAGCTGCCCCTGTAGCACACATGACACAGGTAACATCTTATGGGCACATACTGCCAACCTGAGGGTCGGGGGTTGGCAGCGCCATGGGATTCAGCGGCCTCAACTTCGGTGCGTCTGGCAATCGCAAAACGTCGTGTGGGGGAGGAGGCAACGTGATATTTGGCGGGAAGCAACAGCCGTTTACCCGAACCTGGTCCTGGTGGCATGTTTGACTTTTTGGCGACCATTTCATTAGTGATCAACACGTATTGTCGCATGTAATTGGCAAGTGCATACGTGAACTGGGGTATGTGATGACATTAGATTGTAATATAGGCTGCCGTGTGTAGCTGTGAGCGTGACCGGTTTATTTTATGGTGAATTAGAAGAATTTTTACTTTCTTTAGCACGCATCACTTCCATGCTACAGCAACGGCTGATGGTTAAACAGTCCACCTTACAATTACGTCACTAATCGTTCAGCAGATTGTGGTTAGTCCACCAGAACTCAATCAAGTCTACAACAAACAAGTCGCCGTGGTTGACACCACCATCTAAAACGCCCGTAACATATCGAAACACCTGCCACCGTCTTCACGTTAGCGTCACTTCAGAACAAGCTAGCCTGCAAACCAAACTCTGGATAGCGGCCAGGGATAATACAAAACGATATGCTCATACTCTATGAACTAAAGGCAACTGGCCAGAGTAACCTGACGCCCAAGCATTTCGAACACCTGCGATTCCTACCTGCCGCATTCGCCATCACTAAACAACCCGCTGTCTAGGGAAACCTCGTGCTGGGACACAATCGTTACACCTGCTGTGGAGCTTAAAAGTCCGGTCTCACCACAGCCTGTCATTGCACACGAACATATACATCGGGTATGTCCCTAGAACATTGTTCAGCCTGAAACCACGCTGGCAGTAAGGTATGTGGCAGCGGCCACAATCTGCACCTCTACTACATGTATATTGGACATCACGTCGACAAACTTAAGAAAAGGCATTGCAACCAACAGAGCAAGGTGCAATGCTATAAAAAAAACTTTAGTTGCCCAGCAGTACATTGCCGTACGATGCCGTAGCCTGCTGTGAAATATTTGATGCAAGCTGGAAACATGGCGGCACCATTGTTGGCCCCCATAGAAGGCATCCCATGAATACAAGGCTGCATCAAACAAGCTAACTAACACGCAAAGAAACAGACGAACATACAGACACGGCAACTGCACACCATTAAACAGTCCAGGTGCATACTGCTACCGCAGCTATTACTGCTGCTGCTGTCGTCCACTCTTTCATTTGTCAGTACCGCTGCGCCGCGCCTACATGCACGCTTGCCATTCAGCGTACGTCGAGCTCTTGTTCGGCGCCGTGCTACACCGTACCGTACCGTACCGCAATTCAACGTTGGTCACCTCCTCCATGCAGCCCCCTGCTCATCCAAGCGCCGCACTCTCAACGCTAAATAATAGAGGGCCCCTAGGCGCAAATAAACCACCGCACCCTATATAATAAACTCCAAGAATCTGATCTCGGGGCTCAAGTAAACCACCGCACTTGTAGGCCTTCCCTGGGGGGAGCCCGCGCCGTCGCACCCGCCTTCCTTGAGACCTCCAAGTATGCACCCCGGCGCGGAACATACGCCGCAGTCCGTTTCAATATCTTCAAAACCGAAACCCTGCCTGGCTGGCCGGCTGCGAAATTTCGCCCAACACAGCCACAGCCAAATCCGTTGATCAGTTGGCACAGTAAAAGTAAAGTCCGAGCGTCCGCTCTGATTTTACCACCACAAGCATGCGCACTTTGGCCGTGTTGGCCGCCGCCGCCGCAGCAGCAGCCGCATAATCCGACCTACACCCAATAAGTACAAGCCAAGAGGGCCGCCGGCTGGGGACAGGAGGCAACCTGCCGGCCCAGAAGCACGTTGGACGTTGCGCAGCCGCGGCAGCGGCAGCAAGGACAACAGCAAGGACAACACACGAACTAAAGCCACCAACGGCCCCGGATGCCCCGCAGTACCACACGCGATGCCCGTCGTACACCTTGACTTTCATCTCGGCAGCGCTGTGTACTACGGCCTACAAACCCTAGTACTCAATGACAACACGGGACCCCCCTGGAGGTAGTGATGTCGCTGTCACGTGCATGAATGCGTGCGAGCAAACCTGCCTCCATGCGCTTCTTATGCGTGCTCTTAATCTACGCGAGCTTTCCCCCCACCCCCTTTGTCCCATCTTGCCGCATTCTTCATATCACACCACACGTGCCTGTGTGCGCGCCTGCATCTTCGACAAATTTGAGCGCTGTTCAGTCCAGATGCCCAGGCCTTCTCCTGCGCCACTTAATTTCAAGGGCAGCGCATGGAAGAGCCTGATCCAAGGCTTGGACTTGGGCCTTGGCAGCGCGCGGTTGCGCCTGGCTTTGGATACCACCACCAACATTACCAAAACGGTCTCCATCCCTCCACAACCCCGAACCAACCCGTCCTATATTCAAGCAGCAGACAAACACAAAAACATTAAAGAAAAAGAAAACATAAAAGAAAAGGAAAAACAACTTGGCCCTCTCTCAACGCCCTTCCCTTCAATCACTCAAATCAAACGAATGAACGTCGTGCGTAAAAAAAACTGCGCTCACATGCACTCAAGCACGACGGCCCCACCTGTCACAATTCCTCCAGCAGGGCCCCCACCCCTCCCCTCCCCTCCCAAACAGCAATCCCACTGACCCACGTCACCGCGGTGCCAGCGCCCGTTACATTGCCCGTTCCGCCCAACGTACGGATCGCAGTACTGACGGCGTAGGGGTCGGTGTAGTAGGGGTCGGCGGCAGCGCCGCCGTACCTAGCTTCTCTCCGGACGCCAGCTCCCTATGCGTCCGCAGCACCGCTCGGTCCGCGCGGCGAAGCGCGGGCAGCAGCACCAGCTTTTGAAACAGCCCGGGAACACCCACTCGCGTGAGCGTCTCCTTCTTCTCCGCTTCTGCCTGCAGTACCCCGGCAGGCGCACGTACATATATTTAGACGAGGGAAAAGATGATTATCAGGTTGGTTGGTCGGTAGTTAGTCAGATTTGTTGATTAGTGATTGTAGCTGCTGTACAACTGCAGCAACTCACATCATTGTAACGAGGCTGAACGACTGAATGCCACTTTCCGGGGTTGTTGCATCCCGTGAGAGTGTGTAATGTGTGTGTGGGGGGAGGGTATCAAGGGCGTTTTTCCGTATTCTTCTCTCCGGCTGTCAACCTGAGATGAGGGTCAGAGAGGCAGGCAGGGGAGAAGACCAGCGCCAGCGGCTCGTCAGCACACAACCCACCCACCCGCCTAAGCCCCACACTCAAGCCCCAACTTCAACCAGCTCCCACTCTACCCCACTACCCCCCGCTATGCGGCAAGTAAGACCCACCAGCGGTCTCAGCAGCCAGGCCAGGTCTGCGGGTCTCATCTGGGAGATGAGCTTCCGCTCCGCCGCCGCAGCCTCCCGCGCCGTGAAGTGCATCCGCAGCAGCGGCAGCCCCAACACCTCCTCGCGCTCCATCTGCTGCCGTAGCAGCGTACGGAGCACGAAAAACCCCGCGTAGAGCTCCCGTACAGCTGCCTGTGCGAGCATTCCCCTCGTCGTAAGGTATATATCGACTTTAAAAGATGCGCATTTAGACAGACAGACATGTAAGTGAATAGACCGACGCGGATAGGCCCGGAAAGTTTCTCTCTCTGACGCTCTGTTAAAGACCCCTACCCCCGGCGCCGTCGTGATATGTATGTATGTATTTATGACTCAGATTACACTTTATGTATGTATGTATGTATGTATGTATGTATGTATGTATGTATGTATGTATGTATGTATGTATGTATGTATGTATGCATGTATGACTTCTTCCACTGGTCATCTCCCACAGTTATCCCCCCTCCACCGCAACCTAATCAGAAAACGTTCCCGCACCAGGTTGCGACGGGTGTTCTCACCCACAACACATACACACATATACATACATACATACCCGGTTACGTCCAAGTTGCTGGAGATGCCAAGACACCCGCGTCCGCACACACACACACACGCAACGACACACCTTTGCTGTCGGCGAGGCCGTGATGTCCAGTCCCTCGCACAGTCCCCGCACCCGGTCCAGGAGGGCCATCAGGGTGGCCTCGTCATAGTCCAACATCTTGGAGGGCAGCACCAGGCGGGCGGACAGCATAGGGAACAGGACGGCTGAGGAAACGGCGAAACGGGCAGCGGGGGGCGGGAAAGAGGGGCGGAAAGAGCGAGGGGGGAAGGGGGATAGGAGGCGACGAGTGAATCCGGGGTGTGAAATTGTGGGGGAAAAGGCACCGGAGAGGAGGCAGTGGAAATACAATAAAAATGATACCACGCTGCATAAGCCAACGAAAAAACTGCCGAAGGGTGCAGAGCTGTAATGGAGTTGATATGAACCCAAGTCAGTGAGTCAGTGTGAGCAGCTAGCAACCAACAAAACTTACTTCGTTTGTGTGCGAGGTGCATGTGCAGCCCCAGGTAGAAGCTCCTCACCGTGGAGCGGAGCGCCTCAACCTGCCATCCCGGCAGGGCCCGGCCTCGGACCACCTGTAGTGGAGGGAAGTGGGGGGAATATGTGGGGTTGGGAGGCGGGGCCGTTGGAGGGGTAGCGGGGGGGTTGGTCAACGGGAAAGGAAGCAGGCGGATAGGAAACCATGCCTGCGGTGGAAATGCGGTAGAAACTGGAAACTCCGGTTGCGGACAAACCATGCGGCAGGGAGAGGTGGAAATGTTGGAGACGTAGGAGGTGTTGCAGGGCGTGCGGGCATAGGGGAGGGGAGGGGGGTCAACAGGGAGAGAAGTGGCACCAGCAACGCGGGAGCAAGAGAGGAGGGGCCACATACAAGCATGTGTTTTTTGCTTTTCGACACGAATACGCACATAGGCACATTAATTACTCGCTTTGGAATGTGTAGCTGACCCCGTCTCCGCAAGGCAACCACCACTAACTACCGCCAAGCTCTCCCACCGGTTGACGCCGGAGAACTCACCAGGGTGGCATTGGCGGTCTCCAGGGCAGACATGATAGCGTCCAGGTCGTACCGGATGGCGTCGTGGCCAAGCTTCCATCCTGGGGGTAGTTAGTGGGCAATCGACAGCCGGTCAACGTTTCGCGCTTTCCCATCTTTCGCAGGGAAGGTGCGCCCGCCGGTGCACAAAGCAACGCGCGGGGTGTCGCGCCTTTGGCGCGTTTTCTCTGTGTAATTATTTCGGGGATGTGCCAACCAGAGGAAGCACAGGTGGAGGAAGCATACAGGGACGGCAACACTGGCCTGACTGTTGGCCCTGGCCACGATTGGCAAGTTGAATTTTCCAGCTTTAGCTTGTGCAGCTGATTTGCTAACACAGCTGAGGGATTAGAGGATCAAAATGTTAGCCAAAAAGCAGTGCCGCCTAGAATCTCGAGTGGAGGTACCCCAACAAGGAAAGAGCATGCTATCGAAACAAGTTACTTTGACTTCATATTCCTATGTGCCAAAGTCATAAATTTGGGGTTCGGACCGCCCCAACGAGGGTTTTACACATAGCTGTCTTCCGGCTAGTATCCCAGCTAGGCATGTAACGCCGCTAAGGCGGCCCTTGGCTCACCGGGCCAACGGTATCGTACCAACGGTACATCCAAGAACTATTCATAATCTTCCAATACCAAACGGTATTTATCAATACCACCTTTTATCGTTGGATAATTTCCTTTTTCGCAACTGCTTGCCAACTGCAAGCTTTGTTACAATTTTGGTATCTTAGACCAACCGGTCAAACGACCTCGGAGTCAAGCACTCCATCGCTTCCGCAAACACATTCCAACTTAAGAAACATTTTCTATCTGACTTACATGGCGAGCCCAGGGAATACCATGCGCACCCAGTCGGCGAAGGCCGACCATGAGCGCTATCAGCTGCGCCAGGTGAGCCCCTCTAGGGCAAAGGAACTGGTACAAAAGGTCCAGGAAATGTATGAGAAGTACGTAAGGCGTGCCCAGCGTAAGGGCATAACACCGCCGTCGCGCATGTTTGACAAAGTCAGACAATTCTGCGACGAGCAAGGCTATCGCTCCGCACTAGGCTTCCTAATGGAAGCTAATGAGGAACTCTCCTATGTGCAGAAAAGCCGCGAACTGCGGGAGCGTTTTAGCCACTGCGGCGCATGACGCCGAC